ATCTGTGACAATGGTGTTTTTGTGTGTGTTTATTCTAATGAGGATCGTTGCCGTTTCTGCTTATTTCTGTCCTTTCTAAGGCCAGGTGAACTTCCTCCAGAGGCAACCACAGTGTGCCTTCATTATTTTAGGAAATTGTCGTAGTCATCACAAACAGCTCTTTATTAAATAATTAAAACATTACTCGGTCATCCAAGATGATAAACTGTGTCCCCATGGTGGTTTATAAATCCCTTTTTCATATGGAGACATTTTACCATAAAGCAAGAAAATAATATTATTGACGCATGATAAATATACAATAATATATTATTAAATATTTAAAATATGCGATATATATATATATATATATATATATATATATATATATATATATATATATAATCAAATATATAAACATACGATACTATATTATTAAATATATAAATATATGATAATATATTATTAAATATTTAAATATGCGATATATATATATATATAAAATCAAATATGTAAATAAACGATAATATATTATTAAATATATAAATATACGATAATATATTATTAATTATATAAATATACGATAATATATTAATAAATATATAAACACGATAACATATTATTAAATATATAAATATACACGATAATATATTTTTAAATATATAAATGTACACAATAATATATTATTAAATATATAAATGTACACGATAATATATTATTAAATATATAAATGTACACGATAATATATTTTTAAATATATAAAGATACGATAATATATTAATATATCAATGAGTAATAAAACACTAGGGGCCCTATCATACACCCGGTGCAATGTGGCACAAGGAGCGGCGCTAGTTTCAGCTTGGTGCAAAAGTCGTTTTGAGGCGTTGCGCTACGCTGTTTAAATAGCAAATGCATTAGCGCTCATATGTGCACCCATAGCCGTTCTGGTCTAAAAGGGAAGGCGTTCTGAGGTGCACTGCTGGCACGTTGCTGAGAAACTTTTCTTTTGAGAAACTAAAATATATTTTTCATTAGACCTAAACAAACCCGGTCTAAACTCGCTTACACACTGCTTAATACGCACGAGAGCAATAGGCAAATATCTTTACATATGAAAAATTTTAAATATTAAGGATATATATAGGATATAATAAGAATAGATATAGGATATAAATATTAAGAATTAAAATATAACAAAACATATTATTTTCTAGCCTATCTAAATATGAAAAACCACTGCTTTTATGTCTTCATCTCGGGAGGCTTTTACAGTTCATTCATAACAATTTGCTTTTGTATAATGTTAATATTATTAGCAGTATTATTTATTATATCCATATTTATATTTGTTTTATTAAAAACAAGCTTAGATTTGCCCACCTGTCAGGTTTTAGACCATATGGGGCACAGCATGTGTTTTAAGATATAACTTAGGTTTTTGAGCACATTTTGTTATTATTGATCATTTATTCGTTTGCTTGAAATTAGAACTGAATTTAGAAATAGTTTTGAAACAAATATTTGCGCTTAATTAACGCAATTAATAATTTATAGACTAATTGATGTCTGTGCATAAAGGTTTCCCTATCCAAGAGCGAAAGTGAAAGTAGATAATTTATCTCTCATTCTCACGCAGTAGATGCTCTGTTTAACAGTTTTCTGTTAAAAAAACTGTCAACTGTTAACTGTTTGCTTGTGAAATGCTTAGTTTTTTCATTTAGACTTACTTTACGTCCTGTAAATAGCAAATGCGTTTATGGCGCGACGCAGCTGGCTCTTAAAGGGAATGGGAGATGAGACTCTAATTGGTTTATTCTCAAAACACACCTACATATAACTCATTAAGAAAATAAACTCAACCCTTTTAGACCATGCACCACGGCGCAAAGCGGATTTTCCCGTCCTTAAATTAGCAAAAAGGCATTCTGACATGCCCTGAAAGTGTTTGCGCCCTGTGTTTTGCGCTCTGCACATGGACTGTCAAAATAGAGCCCTAGATGTATTATTAAATTTTAAACAACAGTTTTGTCTGGATCTCTAGTCTGGTAGATAGCCGTGCGATATTCTACAATATCAGAACTCGTACAGAGTGACAGCAGTTCAATAAACTCACTACAATTTCACAAATATTGCAGCTCTTGGACAACCAGCCTGATATCATGAGGAAACCGTATTGTACGTTTTGTCAGTTTAATGGCTAATTCGTACGAATAAGCAAATTGTACTAAATTGTATGAATAAGATCAGACGAATTTCTATGAATTAGCCACTAATTCAAAAAGTTACGAATTGCCGTGAGATTGTGTTGGGACAACATAATGTACTTTTGAAGGTTTTTATGCAAGAATGTAGTTGTTTATATTGAAACTATACAGTTTATTTATAATGAAATTGCCTGTTTTAAATATTTATAATTTCTGAGAGGCAGTGTGTCGGCATCTATCAGTCTGTCCTACCTAGCAGAGTGAAGACAGTTGACGTTCAGCCACAAGATGGTGACAGAGACCACATAAGAAGCCCTTAGAAGAGAAAAACTCAGCGGGATTTTAAATTACAGCTGATCAAATCATTATAAAATAGGTAAGGGACTTTCTAAGTCGATCTTTCTCTTTTGTATGTTTTAGTGCTGAATTTATACCATAGTCTGGTATAGTGTTTGCTTTGCTTTGGCTTTTTCTGAGTTAATTATTGTGATATCCCATATTTCATGCCGTTCAGCCTTATAATCTTAAAATGTGAGCAAAATCACCTGTTTGCCATCATTTCAGACATTACGCTAGAGAATCATTCAAATTCTAGCTCTAAAGTAACTAATGAATGAGCAACAGTTTCTGCTGTTCTGAATTCAGCTGCAGATGTGAATAAACAGCGGAATAAAGTAGTTCCTCAAACAAAAAGATTTTTAGACCCTCTGTGCTTGATTTTCTTTTTTATACACACGATTATGCTGTTGAATTGTTGTATAAATGCATTATCACACTTGTAGTAGTGCGATATGGCTGTATATCGTCATTGGTGGGACACTAATGCATGCCATGTTTACTGGCTTGTTGGTTGATTGGTGTAATTATTGTTTCTAGGTGTGATGTGTAGAGCTTGACTATTTCTTGAGTTCTCCTGTTTTCTTGTTTATCCTGATGAAGACCATGTAGGTCGAAACACTGTTACACTAAAAAACATTTTGAGAGTTAAAGTTGAAGTGTGCCAATTTAGTTTTTTTTTTACTTTTTACACTAATGCATGCCTCCCACCAGTGCAGATATACAGACTTATCGCAATGCTACTCGTGTGATATTGCTCATATAATGCATATGAATATTTTTGATAGCATTTAAATAGAAAAATTGCAAAATGTCTTCTTATCATGACTATTTTTTTACAAACACACTTTATATTCTTATAATATAATATAATATAATATAATATAATATAATATAATATAATATAATATAATATAATATAATATAATATAATATAATATAATATAATATAATAAAGTTATATTAGATACATTTTTTCTAGAATTGTGTTGTAATTTCAAGATATTTCCTCACAATGTCTCCAAAAAATAGTGGTGAAATGTTTTAACTTCTAAATAATGTTTTATGTTTTAAAATAATAATAATTATTATTATTATTTATTTAAAAAAAAATTTACCACTGTGCAACTTACAGTATATATTTTTTTAATCTAATGACTTTCTAAAGATATGTTGAAGTGTGGGGAAAAAATGATCATTATCAATGCTTGGTTCTCTGAGGGTTAAGGGCATGTATATATACTTATTTTTTTAGGTGTATAAATATTGTGAGACAGTGAAGGGTTAGATGGCAAAAAGAAAGATACAAGAGAGCCAGTGGTGTTTGTTCTAAATGCACAGTGCAGTGCATCCAAAAATCTGGGCCAAAAAACATTGATCCCAAAAGCTGGGCCTGGTGATTAGATTCGGGAAGAAACAGAATGCATCGCATCGGATTCACTTGCTGCATTCATCATTCATGCACTCAATAGCTGGAAATATTCTGCCAAATTAAAAAAAAAAGCATGTTTGAAAAATAAAGCTCTTGCAATAATCAGAAATACAGTTAAGGATAAAAAAAATCACTCTTGGCTTTAAACAAAAATAAGTAAAAGTACAATGTATATAATTGCGTTTGTCTAGGTGAAAATTAAAGGAGCTCACTTTTGATTTGTACTAAGACATTATATCAACTAATGTTTTCATTTACGTTCTTTTCTTGACAATTTAAGGCATCAAATATAAGGATTTAAAGCGAAAACTGGTAATATGTCAAATCTTGCACTGTCTGTGCCACTCAGACCACACACAGAGACACGTTATTCAGTTTGTCCTCACTAGGGGTCCCTATTGCTCCTCATTTTGAGCACAGCGACACACGATTATTCATGCTGAGGTTCCCACTTAAAGCAACTTGTTCTCATACAATATATGCTGAAGTACTTCATTTTTACATGCCAAGGTCATAGGTTTGATTGCCAGGGAACAAATACACTGAAAAAAAGTGTAGTAAACAAAAAAACCGAAGCTGGTTTGTTGGTTTTAATAGCTGATTTTGAGAGATTTTTCTGCATGTTAGGTTGGTCAAGCCAGCTAATTCAGTTTAACTCCATTTTTAGAAGTTTGATTTGTTTGTTTTTTTGGTCGTTCTAAGACAAAATATGTATTTATTTTAAGCTTGTGAGAATGTAAAACGAGTACAACCATAAATCAACTTTAACATGAATTTCCTCTGTCAGAATATTCATATATTGAAAAGATTTTTGTACAATATACAATAAATATTATATATATATATATATTTCAATATATGCTCATTATGCCTTTTCTTTAATAAATATTAGACTGCGTAAAATTTGCGCTTTGTAAAATAAAAATGTGCCTCCTTGTGTGAGGGGGTTTCCTTGCTTGTAATTGGCTGTAGTTTTCGTGCACCTGTTCTGTCGCAAAACCTCATTGGCTAGCGGAGATGTCCCTCTTTTTCGCCTCTTCTTCACGCGCTTCCCGCTCTCAGCGCTGGAGTACCAGCTTGACTGTTGGCCTTTCTGTCTCAGGAGAACTGCGCGAGTAAGTTCCTTCAGGCAAAGCGAAGATAAAAATCAGACATGTTGGCGCAAAAGCAGCGTCACAGGAGCGATGGGAACATTTCAGAGAGTGTCAGCGGCGACCGCGGGTGGTTTTGCGCTGCCGTGCGTCAAGAGACGGATTCATAGGACGCGCATCTACCCACGAGCTCGCGCGGAGAGCACAACCAACTTCTGCGGCGCGTGACTTCATAACGCACCCGCTCCGGACCTTTTAAACTTTATGTACTGGAGGAATAATCACAACACTGCAACAATGACAGCGACTTTCGTTGGCTTATAATAATAATAACAACGCATTGCCACTTTTGAATCTCGTTTCTGACGGAATTTTGGTGAGAGGTAAAGGACACGGATTTTTGGGGACCGCAACAAGGCTATTCTGCTATCGAACCATTTACATTATCACATGACTTTTCAGAGGATTATGATATTTATTCAAGAACTTCTCAAACTAGACTATTCATAATGTCGTTTTTGAACAATAGACTACTACCCAGAAAGCCAAAGATGACCGCTTTACGGATGGCGTTAATGCACGCGCTCCTCGTCGCGTCTCTCCATGGAGGTAAAGTAACATTTACGCACGTTCAGAACTTGTTGCGAGATGTCAGAATAAATCAAACGAGCACGATGCAAATGACAAGCATCTCTCATGTGTTGAAACAGCTGTTTTTAAGCGCACTATATCAGTGCGCTTTCGTGTTTTTGAACACGCGAATGCATATAAAAAGTTGACGCGGGCTGCTTCCTATTCCACTTGACCCATTTTTAAATCTTAATTTACACTTGAAATATTTATAGATGAATAGACACTCATGTGGTGAGCGGTTTGTGCGTTTGGTTTGTGGGACAGAGAGGCGCGCGGCGACAGCAGCAGCGGTGTGGTTTTGTTGTGCCGAGCGTATAAATAATAGAAATGTTGGTTTCTCACCTTGTTGTTTTGCAGTCTTGTCATCAATTATGCATGCATGTAGTTAGCTAGCAAGACAGAGATGTAGAAACAGGGCGATTGAAGTGTCTTCCGCTGTGTTTTCCAACGAAATATCGCGTGGAAACACTTCTTGACAGTGACGCGAGAACGTTTGTTTTTATTTTAACATGAAAGAGTTATGTGAATCTCCTCAAAAGTACAACAATTTTACTGCGCAAATGAAAGTAGGTACAATTTCTTCTCAAAGGAGAACTTGCCCTTTCATTAATTTATAATAGCTGTTTAAACGAGCCTGTTTGGGAACCGTAAACAATGTGCTTTTCATTTCAAAGCTGTCTTGAAATCATTTATGCGGTCCTCAGTGTTACATTTTAATGGCTATTGAATAAATACACTGATTTTTATGTGAGCCACTCTATTTTCACTCTCCACAGAAGCAAGAGACAGTGATGAAATGAGCAGACTTTTGTCCGGGCAGCGTGCTGTTTTTATTCATCCTCGCCAGCTGAGGACCCACAGTGGCCTTCACATCTATTTTTACTTCTACTATCCCAGCAAGTCTGAAACTGGACATGTCATACAAACAAACAATTAGGCTGTGGGGGTGAGATAGAGACAGACAGAAAGTGTGGGGGATTGCAAAATTAGAAAGTGTGTGTGTTGGAGATCTTCCTGCGTTAGCAGTGACAAGTGTGTCCGATTGTGTGTTGTGGCTTGGATGGTTTCAGAGATGTTGACTTGTGACAGCACTTGCTGATCAAGCACTGAAACTGTCATCATCATCATTACTGGTTTATATATATATATATATATATATATATAGTTGAAGTCAGAATTATTAGCCTCCTGTTTATTTTCCCCCATATTTCTGTTTAACAGAGAGAAGAATTTTTTCAACCCATTTTTAAACATAATAGTTTTAATAACTCATTTCTAAAAACTGATTTATTTTATCTTTGCCATGATAACAGCACATACTATTTTACTAGATATTTTTCAAGACATTTTTTACAGCTTAAAGTAACATTTAAAGGCTTAACTAGGTTAATTATTTAGGTTCACTATTTAGTCTCCACTTCACTTCCTAATCTGCAATTGCCTCTCTGGATATCACACTAACTGTACCCAAAAAAAAAAAAAAAGTACTAATAGTTTCCTTCTTAGACTTTACAGACCTGAAACCTGCCTATAGCACTTATTCATTGTTGCTCTTATAGTTGTGTAAGTTGCTTCCTTGTCCTCATTTGTAAGTCGCTTTGGATAAAAGCGTCTGCTAAATGACTAAATGTAAATGTAATGTAAATGTAATTAGGTTAACTAGGCAGGTTAGGGTAATTTGGCAAGTTATTGTATAATGGTGGTTTGTGCTGTAGACTATCGAACAAAATATATAGCTTAAAGGGGCTATTAATATTGACCTTAAAATGTATTCTAAAAAAAATCAAAAGCTGCTTTTATTCTAGCCGAAATAAAACAAATAAGACTTTCTCCAGAAGAAAAAATATTATCAGACATACTGTAAAAATTTCCTTGCTCTGTTAAACATTTCGAAAAAAAAAAATGTCAAAAGGGGGCTAATAATTCTGACTTCAACTGCATATTAGAGTCTCTGTGGTCTCACAATGCTGTGTGTAATGGACTGCATGCAAAGAGTACATCAGTAGCAAGTTCAGACAGCATGTGGTGTAAATGCATGGAATTGTGTCCGCTGAACTGTGCGATATCCACAGGAATATTTTGCAAGTTAGTGGCTGTCAGTGTGATCACGAAAGTGCCAGTTGTTTGATTTATTTACGTTGCCTTTTTCAGACTACAGAATTGCTGACATATTGTAGTATGGACATGATTTGCGCTGCATATGAGGAATGAAAGCGCGAGGCAGAAATCCACAATGATGTGCATGTGTGACGGTGGGGGCCGAGTCGGTGTTTGATGACGGAGGAAACAGAATTTGTCAGTGAGTTACAACAAATTTGCAATTTGTCTACAATTGAAGGGCTGAAAATGCACCTGTTTTCAATGAGGCCATCGATAAATCTGGGGAATGAGAGGTTTTTGTTGCTTCAGGGAGTTTTAGGAGCTTAATTGACAAAAGCAGATGGATGTTTACAGAAGGACCGTCTTCCAAGTAAGACTTAGAGCTCATTTTCCTAGCTGTGCAAAAGCTGACAGCGAAGCATCTCTCATCTTCAGCATCTCCTGCCTTCGGCGTCTTGAGGGCAGATATTTGTGTTCAGGGCTCAACGGTTGCGAGTCTGAACGGTTGTAACAAAACCAGAGGTGTGATTAAAACTGTCAGACTATCAGGCTGTCAAACACAGTTGCCCTGCCACACACACACACACACCAACACATACGTACTCGCGTAGACACACACTGGTCGTGTCTGCGAGCCAGGCTGAGCAAGGGGCCCATATGTTTGAGGGTTGGCTGACACCAGGGAGATGATTTGCTCTAGGGAGACTGTGAAACCTAAATCTTTCGCTCTCTCTGCCTCTTTCTGTTCGCTTATACAGACACACACACAGTCATTCAGGCATGTTTACTCGCAGACACACACCCCCTTGGTGGGTGCCTACAAACTTTCTAGCAAAACTATAAATAGTAGATGCACAATATATCATTTGACAATCGATAATGCCAATGTGCACATCTATAATAGTCACATTACAGGGTCGTCAGTGTCAAGTATGGATTATTGTTGACAAGGAGCTTGTAGATTAATGGCAAAGTTTAACCGTTGTGGATTTAAAGTTTGTAGTTTTCTTCTGTTAAACATATCATGGCTTTAAAGCATTCAGGCACAAGAAACAGAAGCACATGTAGATTTAAGATTAACAAAATGTTTATAGTGATGACTGCTAAGTGTCCAGGGGAGACTTCAGGTTGTCGTGAAGGGCTGCTTTCAGACATCTCGGCTTTATTATGTTTAATAAAGTATATCATCTGGTATTGAAAACCTCCAGTCTGATTGTGGTTAATTGAAGGAAAGGCTGGGAACCACGATAATAACCATGAAACACTGATCTAGTCTAATCATATGAAAGTATTTTATTTGAATGGGTTTTTAAAGCCTGGGAATGTAAGATTTTAAGTTAGTTCAAACCATTTGGGCACAAGAAATGATGAAGTTTACTGCTTTAACAAGAAAATTGTGTTTAATTATCTTAATACAGTAAAGACTACGTGGTGTCTTTTTTATTATTGCGGAAATGCGCTCGTTTTTGCAATTTGTTTTAGAACTTCCGATTCAACTGCCTATGCGAGAAATGACTAGTAATAATTAACTGCAAAAAACGGTCAAACTACTTGCTCTACAAGCAACTTGCTCTACAAGCATGTTTGCATGCCAATACAGACAAAGCTGAATCATATAATAAGAAAATATCAGTTTGCAACATCAAGCAGCAGAACAATTTGTTTTAATGTCTAAAAATCAATGGAAGTGAATGAGACCGGAAGTCTTGAACCAAAAAGATTCAAATGGCTGCGTCTGCTCATATGCGAAGAATAAGGTGAATATTTTAGGCCCTTCAAATGATTCCAATCATTATGAATGTAGCAATTCTTTCCAAATAGTGTCATCTTGTAAAATTATATTCATATCGCAATATATATAGCAGAAAAACAAAATATAGCAATGTCATTTTTTTCCAATGTCATACAGGCCTAGATTATTCCCCCTCAAAATCTAGTTTAAAGTTAATTTTCATTTATAAAATCACCCCTACCATTCTGAGATAATGTATTATTCATTCCATCTGGTGAAATATAATTCATATCACAATATATATTGCAGGGAAACGAAATCTTGCAATATCATTTTTTTAAATCATGCTTCCTTAGTAAACAATGCATTTTTGCTTTGATTCTAAAATTTGTTAGATTAAATCCAAGTAGGCATGGGTCAGTATATGATTCTGATGGTATGATAACCTTGGTTAAAAACATCACTGTATCACAGTATTATGATTATTGCTCTAAAATATGTTTTTTCCCATTAATTTTCCCCAGTTAGCACAATACATTTTATTTTAAGTGGCATTTAAAATATTTTTTAACAGTAAACCTGTCAGGCTAAATAATTAAAATAATTTATTGACTTCCGCTGTCTTCATTAGTTTCAAAAACATAGATTTCTGTAAAACTTGAAAAGGCATCTTTGGATATCTTTCTTTTCTTTGGATATAAAGTAAGCCATTGTACATTTTTAGGTCTATAGCATGCATGTTAGGGCTGGGCGATTTGGCCAAAAATCAAAATCTCTATTAACTGAACATTTTATCTCGATTATGATTATTAAATGATTATTTAAGTTATTTTTTTGGCCTCATAGTTTACTGACAAGTTTTGTACATTAAATATGTTCACATATTACAAGTAGGAGATTTTTGAATGAAGGGTGCATTACTTGATTTTAAAATAATTGAAGGAAACAACAGGAAACAAGCACTATCTATGATTATTTGTTGAACATCATAACAGAAACGTACAACGTATAGTTATGTTTTTTGAGAGGTGCGCAGGTATACAAGCTCGCGAAGGCTGTGCTGGACCATGCGTGTACCTTCGACAATGAAGTATAAATCAGCCTGAACAAAGCGGTGTCAAGTGACTACACGCAGTAGGAAAAG